ACTTTGATCAAGTCACATGCTCTCAGCCTCATGGAAAAGCAATGACAAACCTCCTCTAAACAAATGTTGCCCAAAAACCCCATGATAGGGTTGCCTTACCTTGTCACCATAAGTCACAAACGACTTGAAGGCACACAACAACAACAACAACAACTGTAAGCAGCAATCTAGTACTTCTGTCAGGGCTGGCCCTACCATAAGGCACAGTGGGGTGACCACATCAGGATGTGGACAGGATGTACATGGTGCCAGTTTGCCCCAGCCATTCCTGCTGAGCTCCCTGAATTTGTATAGTGCCCTCAAAGGTTGTGGAGGAACCTCTCACACTGCCAGAGGAGATGTAAGATTCAGTTAGAAGTCATGTTAGCTTCTGTATGAAGAATGGGGGTGCCTGAGGCACCATTGTTGCCTCAGCCAGTAAATGTCTTGGACTGGTTCTTGTACAAGTCCCAGAGCCTCTTTGGCTCCAAGACTGTGTCAACCAGCAAGTGGCCTGTAAATACTTGGCTAGAACTTGGATTCTAGTCAAGTAGGGTCAAGATGTGCTTCTTGGTTAGACTATTTATTATAGATAACATATCTTAGGTGAAAAACAGGACAGAGCTCCTGCACCTTTAATAGGTTTATAGAAGAGAGAAAGTCAGCTGGTATTGCTTGCTATGCAAACCCCACCTATTGAAATTCCTTCTTCCACACAATCATTAAAAATAGCAGAGCCCTGTCCTCTTTTTCATCTGGCAACCCTAACACTGCTACCTGTCTCTGCTTTTTCTTTTTTTTTCTTCCAGCTAACATTAATAAACAAAAAGGATAGCTTGTAGCACCGTATTTTAAAAGCGATCACAATGATCTCATATGATCATGACACAAGAAGGATGTAGCAAGAGTTCAGGCTGACCAATGCCCAGAAGGATGCATCAAAATAGCATCCCTTATTTTATTATTTATTTATTTAGTTAGTTATCTTATTCCTTTATAGTCCAACTTTCAAGAAGAGACTCAAGGCAGCTAACAACAGTACAGATAAAACCAATATGGTTTAAAACAATTTAAAAAACCTTCAATGGAAGTATAAATATAAAAGTTGTTTCAAAACAATTAAACAATGCATAAAGTTAAAAAAAATAAACATTGAAAGTATGAAATACATTACATACAATCTCAAAAACAACACTGATCAGCTTGAAAAGCCCACATCAGTCAGTCTTTTTAAAGCCTGATGGCATAAAATGTTTTAACTTGCTGATGAAAGGAGAGCAAGGATGGAGACATCCTGGCCTCTCTAGAGAGAGAGTGAGAGTTCCAAAGTCTGAGAGCAGCCATCAAAAAGGTCCTCTCCCTTGTTTCCATCAAATGAGCCTGAAAACTTAACTATGAACTTAACATAGTGGTAGAATTCAAAAATATAGCCATGTTAGTCTGTAGAATCAATAGGTAGAGAGATTTTGTAGAACCTTTGAGACAAACTGAAAGAAGTTGTCAGCATGAGCTTTCGTAGACTTTAAGTCTATGAAAGCTCATGCTGACAACTTCTTTCTTTCAGTATGTCTCAAAGATGCTGCAAGATCTCTCTACATACTAACTTAACGTGGCTGCAAGTCAAAGGCAAGGAAGATGGGAAGTCAAATAAAACTACATTCCTCAGGATGCAAAGGGACATTGCAACCCCTTTG